AAAAAAAAAAAAAAAAAAAAAAAAACCTTAAAAAATTTCGAAAAACAAATATGTTATGAAGAAAAATAAAATAAACAACATTTGCCTGAGCATTACATCTAAATTCATTACCAAATTGGAAAAAAAAATAGAAAACAGAAAATAAAAAAAAGTAAAAAAAGAATTCAAATTAGCGAGCGAACACGATTTGACACCGCCATCTTTGGCGATTTTTCATTTTTTTTTTGCCTTAGCAAAATGACTCTAAAATTGAGAGGCATGTACCTCACATCATACAGAACTCAATAAAAAAAAAATCAGAAAACAAAATTATTTTTAGGCATCAAAATAATTAAAAAAAAAATAAAAAAATAATTGAACGCGAACGTGCAATTCGCGTTCAAACGCACATTTGAACGCGAACGCGCGTTCACGGCGTTCAAACGGTTACAAAGACATGAGCGACGTTGTCTACGTGAACCACGTTGCCGTGGAGGGGAGGGCTCGTCGTCATCGTCGTAGCAGTCGTCCTCGCTATTGTCGCTCTCCTCCTCCTCACTCTCCTCATCGTCCCTGTACTCGTCATCCTCCTGTGGGGCCTCCTCACATTCCGGCTCCGTCTCCGGATCGTCCTCCACCACGGTCATAGGGTCAGTCCCCGTCCTCACCCGAACAACCCTAGCACTCACCTGAGTCACCTCTGCGACTGTCTTCTCACAACGTGAACCGCGCGGCATCCCCAACCCCACGGCTCCAGAAGACTCCCCCAATGCGGCACCCCCCGCCACAGGCATGGGACGCGGATGAGCTACTCCGCTCTTGCGCGCGGTCTGGTCACGCACAGCACACGCTGCTGCTGCCAAAGCGGCCTGAAAGGTAGACCCGGCCTCTCCACCCCCACGAACATGTCGTGGCTGAGATACTGCCGCCATGACCTCCCTCGGCGCACCCCTCCCGGTATCAGCCCCACCCAAACCTGGCTGGCGTCGTGCAGTGTGCACTGTGACCCGACGCGTGGAGTCCAGGTCGATATTCATACTCCGGAATAGCGACGTGTCAAGAGGGAGGCTCCCTACGGCTGTCGTGTCACAAACCCTGGGTTTGGCGGGCGTGGATGGTGAGTGGGGGGGCGGACGTACTGGTGTCGAGGGGGGATCGCTGTAACGTGATCTCGGAGGAGGAGGCGGCATGAGTGGTCTGCTATGGTCGGTGTCCTCCTGCTGTGTGACGTCACGCACAGTAGCCCGTGCGAGCTCCGCCAAATCCAATGGGCGAGCTGTATCCTAAGGAGCTCGCCGCCCACTTACCGATGTCCGAAGCGTTGGCTCAGATCCTAAATCCACGACTCTCACCGGTGGTACCTCAATAGATGCCGCCACCCCAAGACCAAACCCTTGGACACACGGTCGAACTGGCCGCGACGTCGTCATCAGCTGCAGGCCTGTGAACCGCACCAAGGAACGGTGAGCTCCGGTGATATCTGTTGCGGGTGCATCCCCACGCTCCTCCCGAGGCTGCTCGTACCTCCTCGCACCGCTGCTCAAGCGTGTGTCTCTCTCTCCTGGACCGTCTTGCAAATGCATGCTCGATCTCCTCTGCAAAGTAACCTGTGGCCGCCAAGGCATACACCGTATCCTCTCTCTCCGCGTCACGAGGCTGGGAGGACCCCCCAAAGACATATGCATGAAATCCCCCATCCCCAGCCCAAACGCCTCCCTATCTCCTAATGGCAACGCCCCCAATGCCCTCCTCGAGCCCGAGGTCAAACCCGCTAGTGCGGGACCCATCTCGTCATCGATGAAACGATGGACGATCGGGTCAAGGTGGTCCTCTCCCTCTCCTCTGCCATTGGTGAAGTCCCCCCCTGCCATACCCCCCTCTGCCCCAACCAACGCGGCAGCATCTGCCCTCACCACGTCCTCCTCCATCTCAACCTGCGCATCACCATCGTGTACCCCTGCCACGACCTCCACTCTCTCAACCTGCTCACCATCATGGACCCTCGCCACGGTCGCCTCTCTCTCGACCTGGGCACCATCATCTACGTCCACCTGCGCTCTGTCGCCTCCCCCCTGGTCTCTCCTCCATCGTGGACGACAACCTCATCTCCACTGCTCCAGCTGCCTCCTCTGCCATACCTCGAATACCCTAAACTTCGCCCGCTCCGGCGGCTCCGTGCTCCTTCGCTCGTCGCACCCTCTCCTCCATCAGTGGCGCCCCGCTATGGACACCCACCTCCTCCAAGTCTCCCCCCTGCTCATCTACGCCAACCTGTGCTCTATCTCCCCCCCCTGGTCTCTCCTCCAGCGTGGACGATAACCTCATCTCCACTACTCCACCTGCCTCCTCCGCCATACCCTGAATACCCTCAACTCCGCCCGCTCCGGCGGCTCCGTGCTCCTTCGCTCTCCTCTCCCTCTCCTCCATCATTGGTGCCCTGCTATGAACACCCACCCTCTCCAAGTCCCCCGATGCAGGCACGTCCAAAACAAGCTGACGGGCTATGCTAAACAATGATCCGTGTCCGCGCATGCGCAACTAGGAACCCAAGTCCTCCCTCCCATCCGGTGCAGGTGAGCGCTCGTCATGCGGAATGGGAGAGGTCGGAGCGGGTGGCGAGACAGAATGACGAGGACGGCGCAACGATACTGAGGGTCCGGACTGCGTCGCAGGACTGCTCGTCTGGTCCCGCTTGGTCGTGGGAGTAGGAGTCAGCTCCTGCACGGTCGAGGGAACAGTCGTGTGCTCGCACGATGTCGTGGCACGACGCGGCTCCTCACTCGGAGTCATGGGAGCAAGCCTCTCCTCCCGCAAGGTCATGGGAGGACGCGTATGCTCCCTCGCGGTAGTGGGTGATCTCTCTCGGTACCCGTGAAAGATCCCCACAGATCCTCCTCGGCCCCCATCATATCTATGTCTCCCTGGTCTGCCGCCCCCACGTGGTGCGCGTCCTCTCGTCACCCGCGTCGCCCTCCTCGTGCAACTCGTCAATCTCTCGCGGGATGGGAAGCGCGGGGTCGTTCGCGGCTTCCGGCTCCCTCTCGTCCCCAAACTCGTCCTCCCTGGGGTACGGACGGAAGATGGCGGCACGAGCACCGAAAACAGACTCAACCGAGGGCGGCGCAGAGGACCCGATGGGATGAGAGTAGTTTAACAACAGTTGTATTTTTCATCACCACTTCAGGACACCCTTCACCACTTCAGGAAAGACCTGATTGTCCTGAAGTGGTGAAAGGTCCAAAGACCCTGAAAACCACCTGTTTAGGCAGGCTGCATCCTCAAGTGGTGAATGGTGGTTTTCATGGTCTTCGGACCTTTCACCACTTCAGAACCATTCAGGATTTTCAGATTGCTGAAACTCTCACTTGACCACTTCAGGACACCCTTCACCACTTCAGGATGCAGCCTGCCTAAACAGATGGTTTTTAGGGTCTTCGGACCTTTCACCACTTCATGACCATTCATGATTTTCAGACTGCCAAAAACTCTCACTTCATAATTTTCATTCTTGAATTTTGAGCTACCCGATAACCGCTTGTGGATGGGATCACGCGAAATGAGGGCAGCCTGCTCCTCGACCTCCTCCTCCGTCATCCCACTCCTCGTCCCCGAACACACAGGGTCGACCTCCAACCCCGCCTGAGCGCTAAGCATACCTTTGTCCTGCTGTCCAGGGAGGACGTATCCACAATCTGCACGTCTGTACTCTATCAACCGCACATTTGCGGTGATCTCGACAAGATGAACGACCTTCTCGAAGGTCAACTGATTGCGCTTCTTCGTGTGAATGCCCTCGATGATCGCTCAGTTCCTCTCCGCAGGAGAGGCGCAGGAGAGGCGCAGGACCACATGTGCATCACCTGAAGGGCGCAATATTGTAAATCGGGTGCGCCTCCCCCATACTGAGACCACCACGACGCACACTCCAACGTCACGCAATCCCCGCTGCAACTACGGGCTCGAGCGCGGCCCTCTGCCCCACCCCATGTCCCATACCTACCCTGCTGCATGTGGAAGTCCTCGAACTGCCGACATACCTCAAGGTAACGAACACCCCCTCGTCGAAGCCCGTCTAAGACAACAGATACCTCTTGGCTTGTCGAACAAGCCAAGTGTGGTACCGGTCAAGCTGCGCGGAGAAGTATTGAACATCTTGGTGGCGGGGGTTCAGTAAGTACGCCGCGCAGTGTGCAGGCTCCATCATGTGTTGTATGCGTGCCTGCACACTCCTCATGACACGGTCAGAAAACGACTGGCCAAGAGAGGCACATGCGTCTCGCACGAGACGTGCAAGATCCTGAGTCCACTCTACAACGAGGGACATGAACTGCCCGCCACGGTCCATCCGCCTCAACAAGTCCATGACGGGATCCATAACGTGCTTGATAGCACGCATCCTTTCCCACCAAGGGGACCACCTGATCTGTCGGCGCACCCAACGTGCCATGTCGCGGACATCGGGGGACAACGGGATCCTAGCCCAAACCCTCCCGTCCTCCGATGTCATCATGCTCTGCAAACGATCCTGCAGAGCTAGCAGCCAGAGTTCGCAACTGGGATTTTTAGGAATACCTGTACCTGACCTAACCACACCCTCTTTGAAAACCAACCACCCATACCCACTGTATACCTGACCTGCCAGACCTTCACCCATCTCCACCTGCTAAAAAAAAAAAAAAACTATACCTAGACCTACCCTACCTGAACCTCTTCAGCATGTAACTGACCATACCTACCCATGAATAATTTTTTCAAAAACCACCCATGGCCAATTGAACCCAAACCGTTTGTTAACCACCCATACCCTACCCTACCCAAGTTTTCTTTACCTGTACCCACCCGTACCTACCCATAATTGTATGCACCACCTGTAACCACCCGTGCTAGTCGTCCACCCTCTCGTAACCGCCCTTAACCGCCCATAACCGCCCCTAACTGTCCTTAACTGACCATAATTGTCCCTGACCGCCCGTAACTGTCCCTAACTGTCCCTAACCGGCCCTAACGTTTTTTGTTTTGTGCTTTTTTTTTTTACCGCCCCTAACCGCCCCTAATTGTCCTTAACCACCCCCAACTATTCCCAACCCCCTAGACGTCACAGGATTGTCATGGTATTTTTTATTATTAATTTATTATTAATATTATTATCTTATTTTATTTTTTTTAGATGTGGCAGTTGCTGCAGCTACTGCCCCAAAAGCAACATTTGTTACATCTCATCACTGTGATGCTTCTATGGATGTATCTGGTGCTACAGCAGCCTACGCAACCTGTATAGCATCTACAAATACAACAGCCCTCGGTCTGTCGCACACACATACACGCTCACACACACACGCACACGCTCACACACACACATACATACACACACACACACGCACACACACACACACACACGCACACACACACGCACACACACAAATATTACATACACAGGGTTACACACATATGAAAATA